GCGGGAGGAGGAGGAAGGAGGAGGAAGGAGGAGGAGGAGAGGAGGAGAGGAGGAGGAGGAGGAAGGAGGAGCGAACTGCACGGGATGCGGAATCTGCCAAACAACAGGGACAGAATACTTCATTGTCTTTTTAATAGCGACAAAGAAATAAAGCCTGTGCATTCCTAGGTTGGAGGCGTAAAGGCGGTCGTGAAGAGATGCACAACTCGACAGAGTGAGAGCACAGTGAACGTGACTGTGTGAAGATGCTGTGTGCCAGTTGCACCCAACATAGACATAGCCAAGGGTAGGCCGCTAGAGGTAGGAGAGAGGTAGCTAGTGGGATAAAGGTAGCTAGTAGCTACTAGTACGCTACTACCTAGGACGCAGGATAGCTCACGCTCACGCTTGTTCAAGGAAGCTCCCCGCCTCAGGGCCGGGGTAGCTTCCTTGAAGAAGAGCTCGCACTAATGATTTGGTTCCTAAGTTTTAAAGGGAATGTCGCGAGTTTTCAATGGCACGGCCGGTGACAAACTGGTTTTCTGGAGAACCGCAGGCACAGAATGCAGAACGAATTCGGAGGACGGAACAACGAAAACCCCACACCGTCTATGTTTCAGTCTGCCTTGAGGTCGATCGCCTTGTCACTCAACGGCAATTTCAGGATGTCCTGTCAAACGTGTTGAGAACAGAGCTTCCAACCTACTAGCGATGGCCTCCAACCTAGTAGGAATGGCCTACCCAAAAGGTTTCCCACCCAAATGTAGTGTTTCACAAGTGGCAGTCCTCCATGGCAGCACTCCGTTCAAAGACGCTATGGGCCAAAAGTTCCATGAAAACTGGAATCTCAGAGCATGTGATTTAGAAGAAGCTACTAGTAACAAGTGCATCGCTACTAGTAGGAAGCTGCTAGTAGCTAAGGGCACTAGTAACAAGAAGCTAGTCCCTGATGCGGCTTGAAAACCCTTCGCACATGGAACATCCGCATGGCAGCGCAGGGCCATTTCAAGAGCGTGGCGCAAGCTGCTTGACGCAAATCAGACCTCAAGACGTCAAGACGTCAAATTACGCAATCAGACCTCTCTTGACTTTGTTCAACTTCAACTTTGGGGCCAACACGGTGTAAATCAAGACATATGCCCGGGTCAATGCCTCCGTGCAATCCACCAAGCTCTCCGAAGGCTCACTCGTTCCCCTCAGAAACGCAAGCCACAACGAGCCATTGCCACTAGCTTCCAACCTAATAGGAATGGCCTCCAACCTAGGCGATGGCCTCCCTAATTGTTCCTTCTCGCGCCTGCTTTGAGACGACGTTTGGTTTGCTCATGGATTACAAGCAAAGCGGAAATGTGAACAAGAAGTCTTTGCAGCCAAAGCGGAACGGATATGGAAAAAAACACCGTGTTCAACCTGCTTTTGCTTGAAAATGCCATGGGCGAAGGGACGCGGAAAGAGAACCTGTCCAACTTGTGTAAAATCGTCACCGCCCCCAAAGTCGGAAGCTTCTTGGAACTCTAGGGGCTCCTGGCATCGCTACTAGGAGCAAGGACGCTACGAACGGGCTCTGAAAAAGGTTGAGCAGTTTCCATCGATTAGACCCGTCTTACAGGTCTAAGCTGTCTCCGATCTCAAGTGGCTGAGCGGAGCTGCATCTTGTCTCTCACGTTCCATTGTCGGTTTTCCTCGCCACTTCCCACTTCACTTTGTCCTACTAGTAGCTTCTTGTTCGTAGTAGCGATGGCCTCCACCTAATAGCGTCCTTGCTACTACTTCCACTCGGTGTCGATGCGTGCGGACAGAGCATCAATCCAACCGCAGGCACTGCCGACAGCTTCACACGTTGAATTTCGGAGCGAAAAAAGGGGCCCATTCTGACGCCTGTGCTGCTCCAGGGTGGAATCTCAAGAGAATGGTGCAATCCGACGGGAGACTCTACTTGACAAAGCCAGCAAAAGAACGGTGCTCAGCTAATCTCAGCCAGCCCCCCGGGAAAGACATGAGGGAACAGGGCACTGTTTGAATCATCTAATCTAAGCAAGCATGATAAATCACAATGAGGATCTCCCCACTTAAAGGCCTTTGAATCTGGGGACAAATAGTGGCAGTTTATGCATGAAAAAAGAACTGCGGACCCATGTATTCAAATGCATACTTGCTAAGGCTATTTAGATCGTGTAGATCGTTCAAGCGTTTTGACGCCCAGGTTTTCTTGAAAGGTGTCTCAACATCTCCGACCAGCTGGGTTGCAGGCGTAAATCGCACGTCCTCAAGAACGACCCCAACTTGGAGATGTGTTTCAAGAAGTTTTTATCGAAGGATTTCAAATGCAAGCTAGGCAAGCTAAGATGATAAGACTGAGTATCTATCTGTTTTAAAACCGTTTTGTCATCTTTTACAAAACAAACATGTGCTTAATAAAGACATGTCCTTCGTTCTTTATCTAAACCTGTTTTTTGACTGTGTGGTCGCTTTTTCTGCTGTTCTCTAGACATATCATATGTGTGTCTTATCCTTAAATATGTTGTTCTTTGAACATCTTGTGTTTTTAAAAAACAATTGTGCGTTAGACATGTTGTTTTTTTCTTTTGACCTTTTTTCGTTAGACGTTTGTTTGGACAAGGTGTCATTGTTCCTTTAGACACGTTTTCCTTTAGAGATGTTTTCATGTTTTATTTGGATTGGTTCTTTAGACCTTGTTTGTCATCATTCATTTTTAACATCATTTGGTTTTTATCTTTAGACCATTTCTTCGGGCAGTTTTCATGTTTCTTTGACACCCTTTTTCTTGAGAAAAATTTGCGATTCTTCCTTAGACCTCTTTCTCTTTAGGCATGTTGTTGCGTTTCTTTAAACGTTTCTTCTTTGGACATCTGCGTTGTTTTTCTTTTGTCTTTGTCAAAAGTCATTTTTCGTGGTTACTCTAAAAATTGTGTTTCAAACATTTTTGTGTTGTTGTTGACCTTGTTTGTTGGACGGCTTTCTTGTTTAGCCGACATTTTATCTTTACTTACTCCTCTTGAATATGTTTTTAAGCTGTTTTCTTTAGGCCGTTTGTTTTGCTTTAGACATGTGACATGTCCCTTTCATGTTTGAATACCTGTCTTCTTTTGTTACACATGCCTTCTTCTGTTGAACTTTTCCCGCATGAGTAGCGAAGGGTTCTCTTTTAACTCTGGGGGTCTGGGGGTAGAGCCTTGTTCGCGACTCGTTGTCGTAGCGTTCGCAACCGTTGTCAACCGTCCGCAACCGTTCGCAGTGGTGCGCTATGGCGCTTACATTGGGCGAAGCTTTTAGAGAGGGCTTTGGATAGAAGCATGACGTGTCAGATTCGTGTGAAATGGGGAGGAAACGGGATAAAGCGTGGATGATGAATTCGCTGCGCAGGCGCAGCACTTTGTGAGATCTGCAGTTTTCTGCGCAGCCAGATCGGGATTGGTGTTTGAGGGTTGTGTTTTTGGGGCGTGCCGAAGTCATTCCAAACTGGTGGTGTGGTGCAAATGTTGCTGAAGCTACGAAGATATGATGTTGTCACTTTTTTAACCAGGCGCAGTGCTTTGTGCAGGTTTTGAGGTGTGGAAGTGCAAGTTTCGTGGCAGGCGCAGGGAATCATGGGGTTGCGGTGTGGCGGAGGTCACACTTCGTGACAGGCACAGCACTTTGTGCGTGTTGGAGGTGTGGGACGCGTGGTTGCGAGTTGTGGTAGAGGTGAATGTCGCTGTGACATTGGGATTGGCGTGCGAGCGGGTGTTGCTTGGAAGGCTGGAATCGCGAAACTACTTGGCAGGGGTGCTAGATGCGCATGTTCCGACGGGGCTTCGCGCTTGACTTTTGGAGGAAGTCTCACACGAAACGTTCGTTTGGCAGACTGGAAGTGTGAGCTTTTAAGGAAGTCTCGTGCGAAGCGCTCGTTTTGGAGGCTTGACGAGTGAATTTTGGAAGAAGTCTTGTACAAAATGCTCGTTTTGCAGGCTTGGCGCGCGACTTTTGCAGCAAGTCTCGTACGACACGCCAGCTTTGGAGACGTGACGGTTGACTTTTGGAGACTTTAGTGCCCCACAAGAGTGTCCCACAGAGTGACGAAAGTGTCGCACGAGAGCGTTCTACAAGAGTCTCTCCTATAGTGTCAAAAAATGTGGACGTTTGTTTTCGAGCATGTTTTTGCATTCGGGTTCGTTTGTTCCATATTTTGTTGATTTATGTTTCTTTTGACCGACCCTATCTTATTCTTTTCTTTAGACATAATAAGTCTTTGTTGCTTTCTTTAGACGGGCTTCGTATTTTCTCTTAAGACAGTAATCTAGACATGTTTGTCCTTCTTCAGCAGGCCGCTTCTTCCTTTCGACTACGTGTTCTTCAGATGTTTTTGTTAAAGACAGTTGTTTTTTCTTTAGACCTTTAGGTTCTTGTGATGTGCTTGTCAAAACGCCTCCCTCTCTCTCTCTCTCTGTCTCGGCCTTGCGAGCAAGTTCTTTGGCCCGCTCTAAACGCTGACTCTGCACCAGGAAGAGGTCCTTCTTTTCGTGAAAGTGCAACAGTGTGTACAACTTTGACACACGATGAGTTGTGTCAGAGTCTCCTTCTTCGCGTATTGCCCAGCGCAAAGAATGCAAATGCACCTGAGAATGCACGAAGAAGTGAAGCCACATCGGCGTCGAGCTACGCCGCTCTCAGCCAGACTCGTCGAGCCACCAAACGGCAAAGCAAGGGATGCTGAGCAAGAAGTAGAAGCCGGCCAATTACATCTGGCATTTCTGTTTCAAAAACGAAAGTAGAGGGTTGGCACAGTTCACAAAAGAGTTCCACCTCTGGCAACTGCGCAAATCGCAGATGGTAGAGAAAGTACATCGAAACCTCAGAAAAAGATCCAACGGAAACGTGCTTCTGCGTGACTCGTCCAGTCGAGATCTACTCGTCTCGACGTCAAGTAACAAGTTGAAGGATCGTCATGGACCCGTAGATTACGTTCACGTAGGACTGCGCCACCTTCAAGCGCCTTTTCGCGAAAAGAAGTTGAAAGTCTCTTGTTTGAGCTGTCTTACCGTTGTTTACCATAGGATTTCCAAAAAATTGTCTAAAGGTACGCCTGGTCTCGAAGACTGTGAACAAGGAACACAAAAGAATCGGGATGCTTGCAGAAGCACCCAACCTCAGCTCAAGAGGCAAAACATTGGACGAAATCCGTCGATGTTTTTCCACAATTCCAATTAAATTCTTATTGTTTACTACTAGTAAGGCACCTGTTACTACTAGTAAGGCACTTGTTCCTAGTAGCCTAGTAGCTTCCAAATTTGCGTTCTTCAACTTTGTATGCTGTGGTGCCGCACCCGACCAATGCGACCGGGTTGATCATGATCAACTCCTACAGTTCCCACCCTTCCATTTCTGATGTTTCCTTTTTTAGCCCGCTCCCCCTCCTACTCACTACTAGTAGCTCCTGGCCTTACTACTAGGAACAAGAAGCTACTAGGTGTTTTTTTTCACTCTCTTCCAGGTCCATTTCATTTTTAACGGCGTCAATTTGCGTCTCGCGAATTCTCGCGTCCTTCAAGAAAACTGGTTGAGGATCCTCAATGACGTTCTCCTCTCCAGCCTCTCTCCGCAATGCGCGTACGTTCTCTTGGTTGCATGATTCGGCGCAAAGGAAAAGCAGAGGACCGTGACCCAAACATGCCAAAAGGAAAACGAAGGGAACGACAAACGACGTCAAAAAAACAATGTGTTTGAAACCCGATGTTGAAACCCGAACTTTAATTCTAATTTAATTTAAGTCTAATTAAATTTAGACTTGATTTAATCTAATTGTATTGTAATTTAGTTTAGTTATAATTTAGTTTAATTGTAAATCAATTTAAATCTAATTTCATTTAGTTCTAATTTAATTGTAATTTAATTCAATTCTTATTTGTTACTACTAGTAAAGCACTTGTTCCTAGTAGCTTATTGTTGAATAAAAAACAATGTGTTTGAAACCCGATGTTGAAACCCGAACGGAACGCAACTGCCAATTCCGCAACTGCCGTTGGGCGTGCGTGATTGCAAACGGTTTTCACCGTGCCGCAGGAGTTAACACAGCCAAAAAGTTGGCAAACGTGTCTTCAATTTCTGGCTTGGCAGAAATATCACAACAAGTTGTGTCAGACCGTCCATCCAATGGAGACAGAAAAATCGTGGTTGAAATGTTCAAAAAAATTCTCTCAAAGGCGCCTTAGAGAAACTAAGTCGAGTTAAGAAGAGTTCAACAGGAACCAGAGGATAACATACATGTCACAAGAGGAATTTAAGATAAAATGAAATCAAAGGGAACTGCAGTGGATCAAAAGGAAACACGTGCTCTCAAAAGCGTAAAATGCATTCTAAAACCCAAAGCCACCTCCCTTTGTTACATCACACATTAAATTACATTCATGTCTATTTTTTACAACGGCGGCGGACCGTGGACCTCGGAGGCCCAGCAGATTTGACATTTAGAAATGGCGGACCACGGATCGCTGAAATCGTCGACATCCACACGCGTATCGCTGATCGCATCCTTCGACTGCGAAACGTTTCCCGACCTCATCTCCTTGTGTGTTCCACCCGGAGCTTCAGCGGATTGCCGAAGGACCGTCGTTCGCACTTCCTTTGAACGCTGTACCAATTCACTCCCTGGGGCGCCTCAAGCGCAGAAGAGCGCGCGTTCAAGGGATGGGACAGAATGTAGTGCCAGCGCTTCAAGGAACGCAATAAGACACGTCCAAAAGACACTAGGGCCATCACTGAAACTGAAGATCAAGCAAGTGCATTGAGGGGGCTGACGAAGATCAAACAAATAACAAGGTGAGCCCGGGAGCCCAAAGCCAAAAACCACAAAATATTTTCAGCGACACGGAGGCGTTCCAAACCCCAGCCGTTCTTTTTCATGACAGTCACCATGTGAATTGGATCGGCTGGGGGACCCTGCAGCGTCACAGAAAAATGTTGTTGGGGCTTGATCCGCGATCCGACACCGATCCGGCGCGATCCACGCACCGCGTGGTCAGCCGCAGCGTCCCCATCCAACGCTCGCACCCCCCCCGCTGGACCACAGACAGTTGCAGAACAACAGCTCCACGGCAGCGCCCCGTGGTCAAACGCTCGCACCCCGCCGCTGGACCACATACAGTTGCAGAACCGCAGCTCCACAGCAGCACCGCATGGTCATCCGTCCCAAGCATCGGAGATGCTTTTGACTAAACTCCATAGAGATTATATTCAATCTTACTGACGTTGCAAGGATTTGAGAAAAACACCGAATCAACATGAAAACGCAAACAAATCGAATGGGAACAAACAGTGTCTTTTTCGATGGCCTCCAACCTGATAGGAGTTTCCTCCAACCTAACACTAAGAGTGGCATCCAACCTAGAAGCGATGGCCTCCGCTGACTAAGGAACCCGGTCGCCTCAACTGCGCGCGACTTCCTCTGGTCCAAAATGATGCGCTCATCCGCAACCTGGCAACGTCTCGACTGAACTGAAAGAGCTCACATTATTTTTCTGCGCCAACATGCGCCAACATTAGTGCGACCAAGCCAAAAGCCTTAGCCGTCTTAGCCAGAGCTGTAGGCGACGCGAAATATTTCCACCCGTTGCCACCCACATCTCATCAAAACAGCCAAGGCGCTCAGCGCTCGGGTTGTTCTTGCGGCTTGCGCGAAACACAAAGATGAGACATCGACTGTTTGCGCGCAGTTTGGAAGGTGATGAGTTCAGTGGGACGATTTGCATCCTCAACGTTGATGAGACAAATTGGTTGGGTCTGAGGGCGTCTACATGACTCCAAGTCGGATGACTCCCGTTTGATATAGTCTGGTTCTGCGAGGGCACACGGCGGCAAGTGAGTGACTTAAGCTGAGTCAATTAGGCATCCAGGATGGGCTCGCGCCGGTTCGGAGAATCTCCGTCGAGTAAAGGTACAGTCAAAAGGTGCTTGAAGAACATGCTCTTTCTTTTGACCGTGTACACGCAGGATCGAAGCCCATCGCGGCTCAAGTTCGCCCGTGTTGCGCAAGTCACATGGTCGCGCCGAAGTGGGGCCAAGCTGCCGGAAACTGTCAAAGCAGTACGATCGCGCGGACGCTCTTCTGAGGTGGTGGACCGAGCTGACCGGGAGGATCGTGGGAGCTTTGAGGACGTGAGTCGGGAAGATCCGGCCAATCTGCTTCCCATTGTAAGACCACCAGGTCAGCAGCTCCCCCTCCAGGCTCTCCTCCCGGTATAGACATCTTCATGTTACTGTTGCAGAATTTGCCAGGGCCCGCAACCGCGTGAGGCGTGAGGCCTCCACCGCCGCCTGCGAGCCGGATTGTGACCAGGCCCTTGATGGCGGGCGGATTGGTGGAAGTCCGATGGCAAGTTAGATGAACCAGCGTTTCCGCATCCTCCTGGTGCGTGGAAACACTTTTCGTCTCAACGCAAGCGAAGACGAAGATCGTGGATCCAAGCTTTACCAAAGATAGAGAGAAAGACATAAAAGCAGGCCGCATTCCCTCATCATACCCTGCCTAATTTTGAGCACTGCCGACTCAATCGTACAAAGAATGGCAGCGCGCTATCCAGATGTGGATTGGCGGGGAAGGGGGATGGTATGTGTGTGTGTGTGTCCAACCCTGGACAAAGGGTTTTCCACCACCACTCTTTCTACCCTACATGAGCAGGGGGGCAGAGAGGACTTGCAAGGCTCTGCCCAACGAAGCTCCTTGCAAGATCCTAGGATGCGGAAGCTGATCACTTCCGTGTACCTGCTCGTTCCTTCACAAGCTGTTACTCCACTTTTCCACTTTTTGCTTCATGGTTCTTCACGATTTCCACCCCATAAACATTCGTCCCCAGCAGCTGTGCAGCCGGTTCGCGTTTCCGCAGCTTGCGAGTGCCAACATTGTTCAACAATACAGTTTAAGCTGACCTTTCCACCTTGCTGTTCCATCGCCTTCCTTCCCAATGAGACAATTGCGTTAACTGAAAACCCAAGTTCGAAGTGTGTCCTGCTCAGCCGTCCCACTCGGGTGCTGAGTGTGATCCCCGTCACAGGGGCGCCGATCTTGCATGGGAAAGCAACCACTCCAACGCACCACCGCTCACTGGACTCTCACAGGAAGGCACCGACACCCTCACAGAATCAACTGCCACACCGGCCGCCGGGCCAAAAAACGGTTCTTGAAGAATACATCGGATTTCAGCTTTCAGATTTCAGATTTCAGATTTCATTTCATGTCTTCAAATCATGTGTGTGTTTCCACGTTTTGCTATATTGATGCCGTGATTCTTTCATCGACAGAACTCAAGGATGGGCATTACAGCTCTTCAGCTTAATTCGAGATGCATGAATACACACCTACCAACAAGCTCACATCTAGCACCACCTTGCAACATACTCACCATCGACACCAGAGATGACACCTTCAACAACAACAAGACAATACAACTTGGCACTTCTCCGCTGCCTTTTTGCTGCCGCGCCGCGCCGTGCCATAGCTACGACCACGACATGCATTTTCCGTGGCCCTACGCTCACACCACGCCGCCACCATTACCTACCACACAACCTCAACCCACATGGCCGCTGCCACAGCCATCAACTGCACCCACCTTTCCCACGACACAACCATCGGCATACCCTCACCCACAACCACAACCATTTCAACCACCACCTTTTTTGTCCAACCCTACCGCCACTGCACTGACCTACGGCACACCATCCACTTGGACGTTTGTGCAACCATGTCACGTGCCACCGCAGCCCACACACCCAACTCCAGTCTTTCCGACAGCAGCACCTCCCCCTTCATACCTGTTACCACCACAACATCCCACACCACCGGCCGAACTTCCTCCCCCCACTACACTGACCCATCCCCCTCCACCACAGCAACAGACTGCGATTGCCAATCATCCATCCACAGACCCCCAATGCGCCATCCCCCAGGGCGTTTGGCAGCCCTATTCAGCTTTTTCCCCCAGTCACACAGCCTCCACTCCAACCGTTGCCCCCGCCACCACCTCCACAAACCATCAACGCCTCAACACCCGTCCAACCGCCACCATCGGATCCAACACCACCAATCCAACCCATCCCCACGACTGCCCCGGACACTCCATTGCCGGTCCAAAACACGACCCCTCCAGCTACCGTATCCCAACATTCTGCATCCCCATCGCTAGTATCAGCCACACCAGCACCCGGATCTTCACTACCTGCACCAGACAAACCTGACACCATTGCCTCACCAGCACCACAACCACCTTCCCCGCAACCACCACACAGCAGTCGCCGCCACCACCACAAGAGCCGACGCAAGTCCGACCATCACCACAGAGGACGCCACCGCCACCGCCGCCGACATCGCCATCACCGCCACTCCAAACATCACAGCACAACCCGGCGACGGCGTTCGCCTTCAACATCCACTTACACATCCAGCCTTACGCCATCCCGCAGTCGCTCACCACCACAACCCATTGATTTACGCCCTAACACTGAACACACCAACCCAGACCCCTCTCAATTTCCCACCACAGCCGTCCTCCGTCGCCCAATCAACCGTTGGCGACCTCCACCCAACTTTCACACCTTTACGCCTGCAGACCAAATCCTGGAATGGCTCGAATTCCACGCCACCCAACTCGACAATCCCAACCGACCCCAACACCAGTACATTGCCAATATCCTCACAGACTGCAACATCACCTACAAGGAGATCACCGATTTCCGACAATATACTCACGCCAAGTGGAACGACACAACTCACCAATACGACCAATTCCAGTACTACGCCATTTCACTTCCCTTCCTCAACACCAAAGCCACTACACCAGAACCACCTGCGGTTTCCCGAGCCACATCAACCCACCGGGAAGTCGCCCACATCAACGCAGGCCACACAGGCCCCGTCGGCAACATTTCCAACATTCTACGCCAAGGCCGATTTTTACCCAGCACACTCCACTTTGCCAACTACCCTGGATTTTTTGCCCAGGGCGTTCGCATCACCCACAACCAACCCCATGACCACAACGAACTTGCCCGCATCATCCACAACACCTGGCAACTCCACAAGAACTCCCATTCCCTTATCATCACACTCCTTGCTTGGGGTGCTGCCACAAAATATACCTCCGGAGGTGAGGAACACGCCATGAACCTCCTTAACGACCACCATGGTGCAGTCTTTCATCAGAAGGGCCGCTGCTGGGTGATCCACCCGGACCACGCCATTGTCAAAGGACTGGCCTGGTCCACAAACTCCACTCCACCAGACACATAACACCACTATCCCACATCTACACACCACTACCACCTCCACATCCACTTTTGGTCTCACACCACCACCTAACCTTTGCTCGTAGCAGCCAAAAAGAGCCTCCTGCAGCGGCCACGCGAATTTTGAACCCTCAATTTTTCAAGCTCTGCAGTGTTTGCTGTAAACATTTTTCTTCAATTTATACCGACTGTTCTGATGGAGTATTTCACATGTCAGATTCTCATGTACTTGACTGTCCAACCGGCATTGCATTTTCGTACTTTGCCTGTGGAAATTTGATGCTCGCTTAATTCATATGCACGGCCTCGTGATGATGCGCTCCCTCAGACTCGCCGCTGTCCGGCTGCTCTGGCGCGCTGCTGTAGCAACCCGTGACGATTCCGTGCTACTGTACATCCCTACATCTCTGAACCATGAGCAGCACACCGACACCTCTACGCAACGACACCTCAACTCTCATACACAGAACCACAGTGGTACTTTCGCAGCTGCAGAACCTGCTCAGACAAGCAACCGACAGTGTAGCACACCTCCACACTCAGTTCCTCCACCATATCCACCAAGCGGATCCCACTTTCCGCCAACACTTTCAGCCACTTCCAACCCCTCCCAACCACCCTATACGTTTACCATCTACTACCTCATCTTGTGACTCTGCACCATCCAGACCACCCCTCCGTTTACCAGCACCACCCTCAAAAGACTCAGACGACACTCCCACAACACCACCACAACACGCAAGCGGAAGCAACCACCCCCACCACCACTGAACCAACAGGCGGACTGGGATGCTTGGGACGGCGACGCCGACTGTCGCCTGGTCGAACTCAAAGAAAACCCCAGACTTCGTCCCAACTGGACCACTGTGGCTCGCCGAGTGGGCTTCTCCGTAGAGCAATGCCAAGCCCGATGGCAAGAACTCAAAGACATGCAACGTCAGCAGGACCAGCAACTCTTCTCCACACCACTACCAACCGCACCACCAAGACAAGCGCCTTCCCCATCACCAACACCCACATCACCAGCAGTTTCCCCAGCACCACATTCACAACCGGATTTCTCCCCTTCCCCCATAACAACGCCACCGACTTCACCACATCAAACGACTCCTGCTGCTGTGCTGCTGACGCCGGCCGCTGAGCGAGAACTTAGTGAAGACAGTCATCCGGAGAAATCTCCACTTACGCCCGTTG